TTTCCCATTGGGAATTTTTCTCTCCCCTGCTGGGTCAATGGTTGGGATGATGTCTGAGGTGTTTCCCAGCCCTAATTCTGGGATTTCTCCTTGTCTCTGCCTCCTTTTCTCTCTCCATCTCCCAATTCTCTTGTTCCCCAAGTGGGATGAGAAAACAGAAATTCAGAGAAGGAAATGAGACTCGGGTGAATTTTCAGGGAGTTTTTTGGGTTTTTTTTTTAAACTCTGGGGAGATGAAAATTCCCAAACACCGTTTCAGTTTCTGTTAAATATCACCCACAAGTGGCACAAACTTCTTCCTGTGGCTTCTGCAGAATCCTGGCGTGGTTTGGCTTGGAAGGAGCTCAGAGATCATCCAGAATCCATTAAAAAAAAAAAAAAAAAATTAAATCCATTCAAACCACGGGGCTGGGAGGGAGGAGATGCTCCCAGTGACTCCAAGTGCCCAACACGAGCTGTCCCTGCTTCCAGGGAATTTGGAGAACCCTTGGGAAGAGATTCCAACATTCCAGGCCGAGCACTGGAATTTTTATTTATTTATTTATCTGCTGGAATTTTATTTATTTCTTTATTTCTCATCCCCATCCCAGCCCTCCTTCAATCAAGAGGAAAGCATCAAATAAATGCAAAGCGGGGATTAAATGCAAAATCAACGAGCCTCTTATCCAACCCTGCTTTCCCAAATAATAATTCATAAAAACGTGGGGAGCAATAAATCCCAGCCTAGGCCTGGCTTTAATCCAGCCTTAAACCCATGAAAACAGAGCCAGGTTCAAACGAGCTTGTCCTGAAGGGCCCAGCCCTGATAAATCCCGTTCTGAGGAAGGGTTGGGATGGGATTTTTGCCCTAATGAATGAACCCTGGAGCAATTTCCAGGAGCAGGGAAGGGGTGGAACAAAGCAGGGCTGGCTTTGAGCACAGCTCGTTATGGTAAAATCATTAATTGTGAGCTGCAAATGAGAAGATGGATGTTGGGATGGATGTGGGACCCCTGCCCTGAGGGCAGCGCTGGGGGGGGAAATTAAATTAAATTAAATTAAATTAAATTAAAAATTAATTGTGGGCAAAGAGGCAACGGGAGCAGCTCCCAGCTGAGTTTTGACACCTCCTCATTTTCCACTCCCTGAGGGAATTCATTTCCATCCCACGAGGAACAGGGAGGGAAATGCTGGAGCTGCAGAACAGCAGCTGAGGGATGCAGGGGAATTCTCCAAAATCTCCAAAATCTTGGATGCAAAGGACAGGGAAAGGCAAGGACTGGGATTTAGGGACACAAAGCTGGACCTGACCCTGGGGTGATGGTAAAAAAAACAAAAAATTCAGGGTTGGGGTTTTGGGTGTCCTCAGAGAGGGGCAGGGGTGAATTCCTGCAGGATTTTAACCCAAACCCATCCCTGACCTCGCAGTTCCAGCCAGGAATTAAAAAGGTTCCAAACCCACCTGGAGGTGGCACTTGGGGACAGTGGCTGGTGGCAGTGCCACCAAAATCTTCTCCAGCCTCAACAATTCCGTGATTCTGTGAACCAAGGTGCTCCTAAGAAACTGAAAATTCCCATTTTTTAAACTCAAGCTTGGATTTCAGCACAAAAAGATGAATTTTCCCGTTTTTTCAACTCAATCCTGGATTTCAGGCAGCCAGAAACTGAAATTTCCCATTTTTTAAACTCAATCCTGGATTTTACCACCAGAAACTGAAATTTCCCATTTTTTTTTACTCAACCCTGAATTTCAGCACCAGAAACTGAAATTTCCCATTTTAAAACTCAACCCTGGTTTTCAGGCAGCCAGAAACTGAAATTTCCCATTTTTTTTTTTTACTATCAAGAAAACCCCAAATTACCAAAAAAACCAGCCCAGATTTCCTGGAGGGAAATTCCTGGAGCAAATCCCAAGGGTTGGAATTCTCCGAACATCACCAACGTGAAGGAAAGCTTTGACTGGAGATTTTTGTTCCTCACTTTTCCCCAGGGCTCTGATTTATGGTGTGAAATGGTTGATTTTGGCCCCCCCCCCGGCCCTGCCTGGGCTCTCTTGTTTTTGGCAGGAGAATATTGGAATGGTGAAGGAATATCTGGCAGAGGAGCCCGAGGTTGTATGGGTTTTGTCTGGAAGTTTTAAGGGCTGTGTTTGAAGTTTTGATTTATTTCAGAATTTAAGGAGGGAAGGAAAAAAAAAAAAATATATGGAAGAGTCGGTAGTGCTGCTTTCCAAATGAAAGTGTGAAGTAGTTCCTGGAAATCTGTTGGATTTTTATTTATTTTATTTTATTTTATTTTTTTTTTCAAAGGAAAAGGTTCCTTGCTGGTCTGTAGGGGTTGAATTAAATGTGAATTGAGAAGGGAGATTTTCCTACCATCACTCAGAGGGAAGAGCTCAATGAAGGGGGGAAAAAAATTGCCTTTATGGACAAAGCAAAGGTGTTGGAAAAGATTTTAGAGATCCCCCCACCTTGCTGAAAATAAAACAGAAAATGATCAGGATTATTGGGCTTGAACCCTGCACAGCTTCTCCTTCATTCCTTTGATGAAACCGAATAAAAATAATTCAAATTACGAATTCCATCTCGCAGGGGTGAAACCCTGGAGGAGAATTCCCAGAGCAGCCGTGGCTGCTCCATCCCTGGAAATGTCCAGGGCCAGGGCTGGATTTGGGTGGGATTTAAAATCCTTCCAACCCAAACCAGTCTGGGATTTTGTGATGCTGAGTTCGGAATATTTTAATGCTGGCAGCGTCACGCATCCAAATTTCTGCTGGAAGTTCGGATTCACACCTCTCACCTTTAAACCGCAGCTCTTAGAAACAAAAAGAATTGGAATTTGTTGGGGCTTGAACCCGATCCTAAAAATCCTCTTTGGAGAACCAGGGATGAGTTCCTGGAATTCAGATCCCCCCCCTTTTTTTGCAGCACCACAATTGTCCCCAAATTGAACGTGGGCAGCTCTGACTTTTCCAGCGGGAATTTTCTGGGATTTTTTTTTTTTTTTTTTTTTGTCTCCGTTACAAATCAAGCACAGCCAGTCCTGGGGGAGCTCGCAGAGAACTCCCCAAAGCTGGAATTATCTGGAATCAATTCCTTCCATCACTGCCTGGGGGGGATCTGCTCGCTGCAGGACACAAACGCACCGAGGATCCCAAAGCCAGCATTGTCCGGGATCCCTTCCCACGCCCTGACACAATCCCAAATCCCTTTGGGAAGGGGGGAAAGACGCTTTCCCAAACCCACCCTGATATTTTGGCAGCGGATTTTGTCCCCCTGTGATCCCCAGCGGGGTCAGAGCTGTCCCCGTTCATTGTCAGAGCTGATATCCCAAGGGCGCTGCAAAAAAAAATCCGGGCACCGACCAAAACCAGAGCAAATCCTGAATTGGGGGAAGAATTTGGAGAGGTGGGATCGCTGTCCCTTGGCAAAGCACAGGCTGAGATCATCCACATTCATTTTGTTTGAGTTTCACAATGAGAGAAAAGCTGCGAGGGGGGGGGTCATAAATAATCCCAAAAAGAAACTTCCCTGTTCTCTTCCTGAGAGAAGATTTTCCATGGATAGCGACCTCACTAACCTGGAATTAGGTGGATTTTCAGTGGGGAAGGAAAAGGTGGATGGTTGGGAAAACCTGGAATCAATTATTCTTTTTTTTTATTTTTTATTTTTTAATGGTCACCGTTTTTTAAAAGGTGAACAAGTTGGGAATTGGCTGAATCTGCTCCTGAAGGATTTGATTTTTTTTCCCCCACAGATTTTGCTTAGGATGAGACTTGGAAAACAGAAAACTTTTCCAATAAGGAAAGGCACAGGGAAGGTGGGAACTGGGAATTCCGTTCTCCCCAGTCAGGGCGGCTGCTCCCCAAACTGGGGGAGTTGGCAAAGCAGGAGAGAGAATTTCATGGCTGGAGCTACACAGGGAATACCGAGAGAGAAAGGAAAAAAATAACTGGGGATTTGGGGATGTCCCCAAAATATTGGGAAAGCTGAATGGATCCCGGAGTTAGCAGAGCTGAGTTCGGGGTTCCTGCTCCCGTGGAATCGGAGCCTGCGGAGATTCCCAGCCCGAGTTTTTCCCCCCTTTTTCCTCCCTCTCCAGCCTTTCCTGGCATCTGGCAGCGCCCGCAGGAGCCG